TTCATGCTTTCAATCTATTTGGGCAACCGCCTTCGTTCTGAGGCAGATATTACAAACCCAGCTTGTATCTTCAGACCACCCATTTTAATTGGAATCACCACGTTCGCTTTTAAATTTTGGAGCTTACTCGCTTCGAAGTCCATCTTTTGCAGCGGGATTTGTGCGTTTACTCATTCAGAGGCCGAGACCTTTTTGGTACTGCGTCAAAGTCAGTCACATCAACCTCAGTAACGGTGGCTTATAAAGGAATGGCTGTCTTCACTGATTCGCATAAGGTCTATGAAATTGACATTGGATTTGACTGCGGCTTTTGCGCTTGCAGGAGCATAAAACACCACACCACATTTCAGCAAATTCGTCATATCTGAGCATTCATACTTACAGATGACGTTGACGATGATTTCTCCGCTATGGCAGCTGCTAGTGAGTTCATGTTGAGCGGATCGGGAGAGGATGCAGGCAGTAGCCGAGCTGAAACACCTCAGCCAGCTACACGCTTTGTTGCAAATCAGCAGGGACCACAGAAGAAGCGAGCGCGGCGTGAAAAGCGGAAGCGCGGAGGAAGAGTTAGCGGAAATGAGAGTACTAGCAGCGTGGAAAAGGTTTTTGCTTTTTTGTTGCATTTCTTCTTTCCATGACAAATCTGATTCAGGGAACTCGCAATGGACCTGGAAAGGAACGTGCTCCAAAGAGAACATTAGCAGCTGAGTTGAACGAGGAACGTCGACGAAGAGAGGATGAGTATATGCGCACTAATACTGGTAAGTTACTTTCTTGAAGTAGTTTTCTTCTCAACAGTTCTATCTATTCAGGAGGATTGGGAGATTGGCCCATGCCTGACCTCAATCTTGGATCGCTCATTGAAGCTGACGAAAGAGCTCAAGTCTGTATAATTGCAAACCAGCTGTATGATTGCACTCATTAGTATATTTAGGGATCAAGACTTTGGCCTCCAACTCCCATAGGGTCAAGGGCTTCTCTGACTTCTCAGTGGAGCGAGCACTTGCAAAACTCGGATCCTTCTGCATCAGCAAACGTGGAGAACGTGTCGTACGACCCGATGTCTCTCGGTTTATCGTTGGGAACCACCGTGGCTCCCGTGGATCACACTGCCCCATTCAGCATTTTCGCGGGCGCAGACTTCAGCTTGTGGTCTAGCGCTGCTACAGGCGAATCTTACACTTCTTGGAGTAATGACTCTGAAAAGTCAGCATCTGAGAAGAAGTAGGTGCTTCCCCCATGTCTTTCACCATCATGTGCTACACTGTCCAGTTCACCGCCCAATACCATTTCGTTGGTTACTAACGTAGTTGCTGAAATGTTATCTTTACTCAAAGTTCCGATAAGTTACCATGTTGCTAATTGTCCTGTCAGAAGTGCTTTGGCCCAGCCATGCATTAGATGACGTTATGACCAGTTTAACACCCAAATGAGAACTAGCAAGTAGCTGTCGACTGTGCTCGGCGACTTGTCGAAAATGCTATGAAAAATCTGCCCAGTTGGCGCTCAATAAAGATCTGACAATCTAGAAGAGTTTAAGTAGAGATGATGACCATTTCAAGTGTAGCAGTACCGATGAACAGACGAGAATTCATTTGTTTTAGCAAAATGGAGGGTAATTAGTACGTTCTCGTGTGCTATTTGCAGGGTACACTTTTTGAGCATATTTTGAGAGAAGCACAAACGCCGGGTACATGCCAAGAATATCAGTAGTGGAACTCTAATCGCCTGAGTGTCAACAAGCGATAAAGTGGTAGTTTTGAACTTTGCTGGTAGAACTGACTTTGCTCTATCGAATTATCAGGAATTATCTTACAAGGAAAGTCCGATTAGTCGAGTGGCCTTCCCAAGTGAGTCCTATATCACTCTGAAGAACATCAAACGCTGATTCAGAATCTGTTTTCGTTGTACGCCTCTGCATGCCGTTATAAATGTTTTTTGATGCATAAAATGAACGCATAATCAAGGTAAAGTCAAATGTTAAAGGCTGCTGCATGACGAAGGCGCAGAAGCGGTATTAGGTGAGCGGGGGCGAACGCGGCGCGCTCGTACAGTACGTTCCAGTTTGGATTAGGCGAAGAGAGCTTTTGAAGCGTCCGCATCGCTGGAGGCTTTGAGCGGACAGCTCTAGCATTTTTCCAAGTAATGACTGAGGAGAATGAAGAGACGCAGAGATGGGTTCTTGGCACTATGTGGCGTACTGTAGCTGCGAGCTTTTGCGAGGCGGATTCCCGCCGACCCAATTTCCTCCTTAACAGGAACTTGCTGTATCTTCACCGCTCTAAGTCCTGCGCCTCATGCGATTTGCGGCTAATAAAGCCGTTTGCTCCCGAAGGAATTGCGCCTTCGTAATGCAGCAGTCTAAGCCGGGTTGGGGACCATATGTCGCCGAAAGTGGGAGGTCCCG